GCTGGGGGATTGAACCGTGGTCCCTTTGCTTTGCTAAGCTTATTCAAATAGGTGCTTTGGACCACTGAGCCATCTCACCAGCCCCTGTTTAAAAATATTGACTCCACCTAAAAAAGTGTCTACCTGTTTATAGCTCTGGTGTCACACAGTACAGTGTTGTGTTTGTGTTATAAGAGTTCTACCCAATTATTGTCAACTTAGTCATAGATACTACAACGTACTCTGAATGGACCTTATTAGTTTTAAATTATCTTATTATCATTGTCAGAAAAAAAAATGCTGACATAAAAGCATATTAACCTGTGGAACAAACTGACATCACGTGTGTGAAATTGACCAGAAGTGATTTACTGAAAATATGGCATCTCTTCCTATGCAGCGCCCTGCCAAGAAATTTATAACCTGAATCGAAGCATGAGAAAGCAATCAGATAAACTCAAATGAAAGAACATTACTCAAAACAAATGGGGTCTTCTTCAAAATTACCAATACAGAAAGAGCATGAAGAAATAGATTAAAGGAGTCTAAATGATAAGTCAATTGGATATACCAAATGACCCTGAACTGAATCCTGGATCAGAAAAAAATTGTTATAAAGGATATATTATTAATTGTGCTATGTCTACGTGACTGGAGTAAGAAACACCTAGCCGATTGGTAGAATTTGAGTGTGTCTGTTGATGATTGACACATAAGCCGGCAAATGAGGTGAAAGATCCACCTTGGTTGTGGTTACTATCAACCAATAGGCCTGGACCCCAGATAGAATTAGACAGGGAAAGGAGAAGAAAGTTCACCAGTTTTGAAGAGCCCCAGTCTTCTTGAGCTGATGTATTCTTTGCTGCCATGATTTTGAACATTGATCTTCAGTCTCTTCAGCCTTGAAAGGCAGATTTGTGCCAGTCACTCCAGAGTCAGCTTCCAGGCCTTTGACCTTGGCGCTGTATCCCTGATCCCTCCCATGCTGTGACTTCTATCTCTTGGGTTGAGCAGCTACTGGATTCCCTGACTCCCCAGCATACAGAGGGCCATTGCAGAGTCTCCTGCCTCTGATCCTATAAGCTTATCTAACAAATTCTTTTGCATAATTATTCATATATTTTTCTACTGATTCTGTTCCTCTAGTGAACCCTAATACATTCAGTATTATACGAGAATAATCTATCAGTGTTGAACTTCTTGGATTTGATAATTGTGTGATGGTTATGTTAAAAAAAAAAAAACTGAATGGTGCCACATGACTATAGTCTCAGGAGTTCAAGGTCAGCCTGAGAAGTACAATGAGACCCCATCTCCAAACAAGACAAAAAATGCCCATGTTCTCAGGAGATGTATGTGAAAGTTTAGGAGCATCAGTTCATGTTTGCAAGTTGCTCTCAAGGAAGAGGAAAGGAGGGAGAATGCACATGGTGAAATAGCCACAATAGATGAAAGCAAACAAACACTTTACAGATATTCAGTCAGAGTGAATTATTCCTGTAATTTTTCTGTAAATTTGGAATTTGTCAAGGTAATGCAGATAAGAAAACTATTAATAACATGTTTAATGGAAAGACCAAGATAACACATTTAGCTTTTAGGGCTCCATTTCAGTGAACGTGTTACCTAACATTGACCATGGGACATCAAGGAAGGGGGATCATGATCTCTTTCCTTTGTGATGTGTGTGTATTTCCTGGTCTAGCTATAGTTTTAGCATATTACTTTGGAAAATTAGCTTTGTGCAGAGGTGGTTGTTTGCATTGGGGAGAAAAGCTGCTGGTCATCAGTATTAATCTTTTACTATCTTGCTTGGCTTTTGTTTTTTCTGGTGGTGGAGACTGAACCCAGGACCTTTACACCTAGCTACATCCTCATCGCATTTTAAAATTTGAGACAGGGTCTTGCTAAATTGTTCAGGCTGGGCTCAAACTTGCAATCCTCCTGCCTGAGCTTCCCAATGCACCACCACTCCCAGTTTTGTTTTCTGGTTAGCAGTTGACATACATCTTTCTTTTCTCCCATTATACTTTGGGTCTAAAGAGTCCTTTGTAGGTAGAACAGAGTTCAAATCCCTAAGAGGTGGGCTATAGGGAACTAGGACTACACACAAAAGCAGAGCTGATTTTGGAACATAAATAACCCAATTTGCCAAATAAGAAGTCTTTAGACATTCCCTGAGGCAGGGAGCACAGAGACCTGTGGAAAATGGAGGCTCAGATTTGATGGATTATCCTAGGAGAGGGTCGGGAACTGGTCCGCTTAGCTCCTTCTGCGCATGTGCAGTTCTTCCTCATTGTTCCAGGGCTCTCTTGTCTCCAACCTCACGCGCGCCCGCGACTGATAATCCTGTTGTCTCCCTTTGTCGCTCACTGACCCGGCCCTGAAAGAAGGGTGCGGTATGCACTACAGGTGAGAGCCTGTTTCGGGGCGGGGGTGGCTTTGCCAGGTTTGGGACGGGTTTGTGTACAAGCAAAAAACTTGAGAGTGTCCCACGGGATTGAGACCCAGTAATACTTGTTCCTGAGTCCGCTCTCCCTTTGCCCCTCCAGGGAGCGAGAAGGGTCGCGGCGGATCTGCAGCCTTCATTCTCTAAGGATGAATACAGGGGTGGGCGGTTTCTAGATCAGCGTAAGTGTACTGGGGAAAGGCATTCAAATGTCAAACGAGTTTGCTGAAGCTCCTCGAATTTGCATATCCCCAGCAGTCCTTCCTTAGAGAAAGGAACACGGGCGGGGAGCGCTGGGGAGGCCCTGAGAAGGTATTCTTCTGACCTTTATTGCATGTGTGCCTATAGGCACCCGGAGGAGGTGTATGTGTGGTGGTGGTGGGGGGGAGGTTCTGTACTATAAAGGACTGATTTCAAATTCTACCTTTGTTTGAGTCTTCTTAGGCAGGATGAAACTCTAAACCTCTGAGCCTCAGTTTCCTCCCTTGTAAAATGAAGTTATCGCCAAAGCCTGCCTTGGGCTTATTCTGAGCTCCACATGAGAGAGCGCCTGTAAAGCACTGGACAGAGGTTTTGGCATTTTCTCTGCAGTTGAAAAGGTTACCTGCTTGCTTCGCCGTTCTATTCTTTTAAGTATTGTACTCTCTCTCACTTGGCTCTGAAGACTCCCTGAAATTCAGTGTTACCAAGCTCTGCCATCCCACACCCTTTTAAAGATGGGGTCTTCTTATGCAGTCCAGGCTCACCTTGAACTTTCTATGTAGCCCAGGTTGTCCTTGAATTCACAGTGATCCTTCTGCCTCAACTTCCAAGTGCTGGGATTATAGGCATGCACCACCATACCCAGCCCCAAGCCCATTTTATTTATTTATTTATTTATTTATTTATTTATTTATTTATATTTTAGGGAAGGGTTTATAGGGTGTTCAGGATCTCACTACTTGATCGGACTCATAGTGATCCACCTGTTTACCAAGCCCATTTTAATAGAGAAGAAAACCCAGACTCTGGGGGTGATGCTAGTGAGAGAAGGCTTTGGGTTGCAACCCTCTAACCCTTTGATCTGCAGGTCTCCTGCTAGGTCTTCCCAGCAGCTGATTGCTCACAGCTCTCAGCAGGTGCACAGCCGTAAGTGCCTCAAGGGAGTAACTGGGGTGTGCGAAGACTCAGTTTTTCCCTTGGGAGTCATGGGAAGTCTACCCTGGGGTTACTGCATAAGTGAGGCCATCTCTCTGCCTTCAGCAGCTACGGATGCCCAAGCTGGATTTTTGTCCACTTTTAAACTAGCATGCATCAGAACACCTGAGTGAGACCTCACTGTGAGAACCACTATTAAGGGTAGATGGTAAATTTCTGAAGCTTCTAGTTATTTGACTTTATTTACACACTTTAGCCTCAAGAAGTTAATGATCTATGTGACTAAGTAAACATGCAGGTCTTCATAAGGTCTTCACTGTTATATCAAGTTTTACACCTTTTATTATGGAAAAACTCAAACATATAAAGTAAATACTGGAATAACTTTTTGGAAAATATCAGTAAATCCTTGTCATAGATAACCTCAGCAAACAGACAGTCACCCACTTCCTCAACACACACACACACACACACACACACACACACACACAGAGGCATGTACACATGTATGAAGGGACGCATGCATGGACACATGCACGGACGCTCGCATGCCCCCCCCACTGTCCCTTCCTACCTTCTTTTACAGGTTTATTTTAAAGCAAATCACAGACGTTAAAAACGAAGTATATAACATGCTTAATAGCTGAAGGTCTCTATAGTAATGTGATTTGTTTAGCCAAATCTCTCAGTTGAATTTCATGTTATTTATACCGTATGTGTCTGCCATCAAATTGAAGAAATTTTAAGTTATGAGAAATTAATATTCACTTTCCCCAATGAAACGCTCACTTGCTTGCCGGAGCCCCGTGTGGTTACACAAAGGTTACAAGAACCCCCCGGCACATGCCTACCTGCCATGTGGCCATGTATCAGTGGATACGTGGGTTTCCTGCAAGCGCTAAGAGAACCTTCCAGGTAGCCTGTATTTCTCATTGTTCCTTCACTCCTTCCCTCTCCTCACGCCTGCCTGCACAGCTCTCTATACTTTTCCAGGAGCAGGAGAGAATGAACATATCCCAGGTGAGTTGTTTACCTCTTATCCCGTGTTTTCAGCCAAATGTAAGAGTAACTATGCTGTTGACCATGCTTGCTTGTCAGTTGGTTTTCTTCGTTTGTCAATTTCCTAACTTTTCCCCTGCATTATTATTTTACTTTATTTTTCCTTCTTCTAGTGGATTTGATGGTCTACATTTCATTTTATTAGTCATTGTTCTAGATGCACTAACATATGCATAACACATTTTTCTATCAATATTTGAAGTTTTGTTTCATCTATTGTATCACCTAAACCTAAGCATTCCTCCTACATCTCAGGTTTAGTGAAAAACATTGTTGTCCTTTTTTCACTGTTTTCTCTTTATGTAATATATATTACTTTTTAAGAAATAAATCATAAATAATATTATCCTATGCTAACCACCACACCTTCTAGCTACTTGAACAATAATCATTTAAATTTGAATATACATCTTCTAGTTATTTTTGACATCCCAATTTGGAAGATAGAGTAATAAAATTGTAATCATTGTCTGGGAAGATAGCTCATAAGCATAAGCCCTGCTTGGCAAGCACAAGGTTCTGAGTTCGACTCCTGGTACTGCATACCATGCCAGCCCTGGAACTGGGTGTGTTGGCGCATGCCTATAATCCCTGTGCTGGACAGACTGAGACAGGAGGATCACTAAGAGTCTGAACTGCATAGCAAGACCCTGTATCCAAAAAATCATTATCATTGGCCAGCTGTAATATTACCTATAACTGGGAGTATCCTATTCTATTCCAGCCATTGTTAAATTTCCTGCCTGGATTAGCTCATATAATACTGACAACATTATTGAGGAGATACATTTATTACATCTTTTTTTCTCTAAGGGCTACAAAGATCTAAGTAATTCTCAAAAGTTGGAGCTGACATAGTTCAGGGACACACTGTAAGAGGTTTGGCCCTGTTGAGACCTCCTCAAGTCCAAGTGCACCACAAGTTCTCCACCTACATTGTGAAAGTGCATTTTTATCTGTTCATGTGCCAACCTGCCCAAGGACTTGGAATGGGAGTTCTTGTAGGAATGGGATTGCCAGGTAAGACACAGGACACAAAAAAGAAAGTACGAGACACACTTATACGAAGAGCTTATTTGTTGTTTACCTGAAGTTCAAGTGAAAGCAGATGCTTGTATTTTTATTACTGATGATGACCAGTGAGGCTGGCAGCCCCAACTCATATGGAGGAGCCGATGCTCTTGGTTTTCAGTGGCTGGTTCTATGACCTTCTTCCAGATGTTCGTCGGTGCATTGGAAGGTCCTGCATCAGCATCCCCATCGGCCAATGAAGTAGCTCTCTGTCCAGAGCTTCAGGAATTCTCAGGCTTGGTACTTACATATAGGTCTTGTTTGAAACTGTGGACACTATACCTGTGTGTCCTGTCAACAGCAGTACCTGTGGTCTGGTCAACATGATCACCGTTTGCTGTGTTTTCCTCTTTTGGGAACTCTGCTGCATTTAGATGGGGGCTGTGGAGCACTGCACAGATCGACTGTGTTAATCAACCCTCTGAGTCTGCGTATCTGAAGCTGCCTTCATCCTGCTCTGCCCTGGGAATAAGTGATTGGCTCAAAATCCTTTTCCTCTGAAGATTATGAGAAAAGACAATTCACACTATTTCCTGTTTGGAGAGACCAAGAATTGGTGCGGCAGCATGGCTCTCATGACTTCATAGATAACCTGTTTTTCCTCTTCTTCTTCTTCTTTCTCCTCTTCTTTCTCGGTGTCATGTTTCACCATGCAGTGTCTGCTTATTCTTTTTTTCACTTTCCTACTTGGTAATTGAATGTGTCCTAACAAGATGAAGACTTGCATGCTCAGAGATGTTTTCATTTATCTCTGTGCTTATTTCCTGCTCAAGTTCCTCTGTGTCCTCGCCACCTAGAAATCCTGTCAGAGACTCTCCTCATTCTCCTTTCTGCATTCCTTGATGTTAATTTCAGCATTTCCACTTTCCTGTAGTTTTGTTCTGTGCACAGAGAGATTTGCTCATTTTCTTTCTGGGATTTCTCTGTCTGGTTTTGTTTTCTGACTCCTAAATCAATAGCAACACTTTTAATACCTGTGTGCCTTTTCTTTACTCATAGCAGACTTTTCTCATCTATGGAAGTCAGACTCTTACACTGACTTGGAGACATTGTTTGAAATGCTTAAATATTATACCTGGTGCTGATCTTCTGGGCTTTTGTTATTTGCACTAAATTTATTTAGAAGCCTTCAGTTTCTTCTTGATGCTTCTTTCTCAGGCTGTGGTTTCCTTCCAGTGTCCAGATCCCTTTTGTGTTTTCCAAATGAGCAAGGAAAAGCAGGGACATCACTTGATGTTCAGCATCGGTAGCTGTTGTGTGCTTATTCCACTCTGTCTCTGTGAAAAGGATACCCTTCAATTAAAGGATAGACTTGGGTCCTTCCATGCTCATGCCTATAATATAGGGGTTGAGGCAGGATGATTGTGAATTTGAGACCAGCCTGGGCAAGTTAGTGATTTAGTGAGATCCTGTCTCAAAATAAAAAATAAAGAAGAGCTAGGTATGTAGCTCAGTGTGTCGGTCCTAGGGTTCAATCCCTAGGACTACTGAAAAAAGTCAGGAGATGCCTACAGAGAATCCCTTTAGGCTAGATAAGGGAGGGAAACTCCAGGACACCCTTCCTCCATCAAAGAGAGCATTACTATACCTAATGGCAGAGCACATTAGTCTGTTCCCCTAGAGTTGCTCTAAAAGCAAAGCTGTGCCCAGAACAGGGTACTGTGTACAGAACTTAGGTTTCTCTCTCTGGTTGCAAAGTTCTCAGACTCTTGGAGGGCAGTTTCCTGTTTTATATAGAGATCATTATCCTGAGCATTAACCTTAAGGAGTAAGAATCCACCCAGGAGTCTGGTAGCTCTTCTGCTGATCATGTCCCCATCCACCTCCCAGACTCTAGCTGCTGAGCTGGGAGGTCCAGTGGGCTCTGAAGGGTGGCCTGAGACTTCTGCACATTCTGTGAGAGTTACGTAGAGAGCCTCCAGTATCTGCCTCCTGCTGTATGTCTTCTAGAAACTTCTAGAAATTTCTAGAAGACGGCCTTCCCTGTACTCTTCTGCTGAGGTAAACATAGTGTTGTCATATTTCTCTCTGCTGTTTTTTCAGGTAAAGGAAATAAATATATGTACTCAGGTCATTGTATTGATCCAGGAATGTCCCTTACTCTTCAACTTGGTGCTTCTGAACTCTGAATTTACTCACCAACTGCCTAGTGAGCGTCACTGTGGAATGGAACTGTGTTTGATGCTGCAGACAGCTGCTAGCTACCAGTGTTGCTTCCTTCTGGGCTTTCAGGGCTCACTTCTCTTTCTCTGTTGGCCCCTAGGCCCTGTAGCTTCACTATCAATGCTTTTTGTGAACAAGTTCCCTCTCCCATGGCTTCAGCCACCACAGAGCTGTACCTAATTCCAAACATGTACCCATCTTTATCTTCTTTATCCTAGGTCTCTCCTGAGACCTAAGAACTTATATCCAGCTGTTACCTGAACATCTCCACTTGTTTCACAGGTATCTTAAGTATAACATGCCTAAGAGTCAGTCTCTGTGTCTGTCTGTCTGTCTCTCTCTCTGTCTCTCTCTCTGTCTCTCTCTCCATCCTCCATTCGTTCTTTCACCTCTTTTATTCATCTCAGTACAGAATGTGGTGCCAGCATCAAGCCTTCTGCTCTTGTGGATAACCTGAGAGTAATGCTCCATTTTCCTTCACTGTGTGATCAACTGCTAGCTATTTCCATTTAGAGTTAGTCCCAGTTCTGGTTGGAGGTGGGTCCCTGGGGATGTGACCTGGATGGGTGTGTTCATGTCCTGGCTCCTCCCTGCTCTCTCTGCTTCCTGGATGCCATGTGTTGAGCAGATTACCACCACCATGCCTTTCCACCATGTCCCTGCCTTGGAGCCAGCTGACCATGGATTAAGTCCTTGAACCATAAGTGAAGTTAAACCTCTCTTTCTTTAAGTTGTGGGAGTCAGTTATTGTGTCTCAGTGACAGCAAAGCTGACAAATACACTCCCCCTTTGTGACTTCACACTGTTGCATATACCTGAGTATACGGAATGGATCCTCATCAATCTATAAGAGCCCTAAAAATAGGACCAATGTCTTAATTGTCTTAGTGTCCTCTGTAGCCAGAATAAATCCAAGTACACAAAAGAAACTCAAATTTTTATGAATTGATCAATGAATGTATAAGTAAATATAGAAGACTATTATTTCCATTATGATTTCTGTTTCTCTCACAAAGGATAACATGAAGGAAGGTAATGTTAGACAGCCTATGTAACACTGGTAAGCTCTTAACAGAGAGCCTGGTAGGACTTAGTTCCTATATGTATTTCACATGACCTTTGTCTTGAACACTTCGGATTGAGCAGGATTGGACTGTTGCAGGGGTCGGTGTTGTTTGAGGATGTGTCTATGGCCTTTACCCAGAAGGAATGGCAGCTGCTGGACCCTAGTCAGAAGTGCCTATACAGGGACATGATGTTGGAGAACTATGGACACCTGGAATCACTGGGTAAGCCCAGCTGCCCATGCAGTTCTGGCCGCATGCATTTCCTGTCTTGGAAAGCAGGTTATTGCAGAGAGTAATGTACTTTATGCTTGAGATTTTTAGCTCTAAGTTCTTTAGTGCACTTGATAGAATAATGTATTCTTATTTCCCTGATGAAAGCATCTTTCACCAAATGGCCACTTTCTCAGGCAGAGGACTTAGTCACTGATCAAAGCATTATGCAGGTTGACCAGATGCCTCATGCCCAGGGACTTAGCCACTCGCTTTGATGGGACATAGTTAGACACTGTCATGTGTTTCTCCATTTCTGTTCTTCCAAGGGTCTGAGCTCAAATGCTTTTTTCAAGTCTCCTGTCATTTTCATCACAGGCCTATGTGTCACAAAACCTGAGCTGATATGCAGGTTGGAGAAAGGAGAAGAACCATGGATATCAAAGAAGGAGCTGCCAAGTCACAGCCATTGGGGTGAGTTGAGATGAAATAGATGCTAAGAGAAATAGGTCCCAAATGGCCAATTCAAAGTTTAATATCTTTGGAATACATTTTATAAATCCCTTTTGGAGGGTCCACACTTTCAGAAGTGAGTAAAGAGTAAATAATCACATACCTTAGATAGCATACTTCCCAGCGTCACTGTCATGTACAAATGTTCCTTGTTTTCTATCTGACTTTTGGAAAGAAATTACTTGATTTGTACAGAATTCAATGACTGCCTTTTCCACTCTAGACCTTTGTTTCTTTGTTTTTCTCTATGAAACAATGGCCATTGCCCTCCTTTCCACCAGTGTCAAAAATGTCATAAAGAGGCATTTTTTCACACATCCTTTTATTCAACAAATATTTGTTAAATTCCTGTTATGTATCCTAAGCAGAATTTCTACTTGCATTAGAGCTTTAAATTAGCAAATAAATGCACAATAGGGCAGGTAGTAGTCAGCACTGTTAAAACTTAAAATTAGATAAAAGGCAAGAGATTGGTATTCAGGAATGGAGGTTGGGATGGTCTTCTTGAGGAGGCAAACATTGGGCAGAAACACTGGGATGGTGTTTTGAATGCAAGGATGGAATGAGCCACGGGCTGTTGGAGAGATTCGCAGACCAGGGGAACAGAAGGAGCCAAGCCTCTGAGAGCAGAATGTGCTTGTTAAAGAGAGAACAACAAGGAGGTCAGTGCGACCACAGGGAGTTGAGTGAGGAGGGAAAAGGAGAAAATGTTAGGGCTTACATAGAGAAAAGCTGTAGGTATAGTGAAGAATTCCAATTTTACTGAGTGAGACAGTAGGTAAGAGAATAGTTTAAAGATGGCACCTTCAAGTGTTGAATTTGGAGGTCATTGGAAGACACTGGGGTCTACAAAGAAGGACTGACCATCCGGGTCATGAGGGAGAACCTGAGAGTAATGTCCTGGGAGTGACACTGAGCAGTGTTAAGAAGGAAGGGGTGGATTCCAGTACAGAGATAATCACATTGCTCTTTCTTTTCCTACAAATTTTCCAGAAGCCACAAGGCAAATGAAAACAATATGGTCATTCCATTTTTACTGGAGTTTGGAGAAAATCTAGGGGAAAAAAAAAAAGATGCAAGGTAGAAAAGCAGCCCAAAGCCATGAAAAGTGGGCTTGCTTATGGAAGAGGTACAGAAAAAACATGCAAACCAGTACAATGTAAACTAGCTTTAGAGTATATCATGCAGACAGTATTTACTTGTAAGTTTTGCTACAAATGGGACCTTAAATGATAAGGGTATTTTCTTTAAACCGTAGAATAGTGGCATTGTCCTAAAGGATGTCTAGGCTCTGAGAAGGGCTGAAAACACAATGTAAACTAAATAAGTAAAAAAATGAAGGGTAGATTTGTGATGGAAAGGAATAATTTATGGAATTAATTGATACTTATCTCTGATAGAAGTTGACAATATTATAGATTTGTAGGATGTTATTTGAATATGTATTGTAAATTTAAGTATAAGAATCTAGTATATGCAAGCAGGTGCAGGAGCCGGGGGTTTGATCCCCAGGCCTGCCATGCCGGCCCCACCCTCAGGGCACGCTGAGACAGCAATTGAGACCAGGTGTGGTGGTGCACACCTGTAATCCCAGTTCTTGGGAGATTGTAAAGAGGCGAATCACTACGAGTCCAATCTAGTAGTGAGGCCCTGAACACCCTATAGATGCTTGTCTAAAATAAAAAAATAAAAAAACTAGTATAAAATCTGAGCATAAAAACCTAATGTTACACTCTTTTTGTCAGCATATGCATTGACTTTTATTTGTTTTATTAACCTCAGAAAAAAACTGTACATTTTAAAATGTAAAGTTGGGGGTGTAACTCAGTGGCATAGCACTTGCCTGCCAAGTATGAGGTCCTGAGTTTGATCTAAGTACCAGCAAGAGTGTAGTTGATGTTATTACATAAAATATAACAGAAAATGACAACAGTCATGCAGAGGGCAAGATATGTGCCTCAGTGATAGATTGCCTCCTAGCATGTGCAAGGTCCCGAGTTTGACCCCTACCACCAGAAAAATAATCACCCTACTAAAAATCATTTACAACAAATAAAAATAAAAGTTAACAAAGTCCTCAGACCACATTGAGTAGCCTTCTGCTTGGGTTATCACAGGAAAGACAGAAGTAAGAAAACAATAAAGGGGCTGGGGAGACAGCTCAGAGGCATAAGTAGCCACCTGGCAGGCACAAGGATCCAAGTTAGATTCCCAGCTGGCATGCTGTGCTGGCCTGGAAACTGGGCATGGTAGCTCATGCCTCCCGCTGATACAGGAGGATCACTATGTGTCCTGAGCGGTGTAGTGAGACTCTGTACCAAATAAATAAGTAAGATTTTTAAAAATAAAACATATTTTATAAAATCTATAAAAAACATTTTATAAATGGTATATCCAGACAATGGAAATGTTTAGTACTAGGAAGGCACAAAAGCCATAACTATCAAGCCATAAAAAAACCTGAAATGTATATCACTAAGTGAAAGAGTTAGCCTGGAAAGGCCATAACACTGTATCGTTCCAACCATATGAAAGACAAAACTATAATAAAAAGACTGGTGATTGCTAAAAGCTGGGTAAGGGTTGTGTGGGGAGAGAAGGGTGATAAGCAGGGCAGAGAGAATTTTTAGAACAATGAAACTGTTCTGTGTGATGCTGTAATGGTATACACAAATCATCAGACATTTGTCCAAATCCATGGAATGTACAACTTAAGAATGAGTCAAACTTAAGATTAAGCCATAAGCTTTGGGTGATCATGTTGTATTGACATACATTTAATTATAAAAAATATACATGCCACTCATGTGGAATATGTTGATAGTTTCAGAGGTGCATATATAGTGGTACATGGGGACTCAGTACCTTCCACTCCATTTTACCATAAACCTAAAACTGCTGTAAATAAAAAATTTATTTTTAAAAGTGAGTATGGAGGTGGTAGAAATCAGTTGGTAAAGAAGATCAAAAGATGAAAAATAAAAATTAAGATTGTCATAAGAGGAGATTACTAGGGATTAACTCTGCTAGAATCAAATGATAGCACTACAAGTCAAAATATAAAGCAAACTAAATCCTTTTGTAAGTGTGGTTTGTATATTTAATATTCTTATTACACATTGTTCTCCCACAGCAGAGTTATATGGGGAGGGGATCTGAATGATAGGAAGGAATGTTATAGATCTGAAGAAATATATGATTTTATAACTTTAACTGGAAATTTGTGTGCAGAATGAAAAGGGAAGAAAGACTAGAAGCATGTAGAGAGGAGAGAATATCCTCCCCTTAAAGTCTGGGGAAAATAAAAATAAGGGTTTAGTCTCTGATCTTCCCTCTACATCTAGTCTTTGTTCTAATACTTCCATTAAGCACCTTTCAGTCCTCTTTGCCTTGTTCTTCATTGTTGCCTCAGTTTTTAAATGTCCCCTATCCTTGGCTCAATCATTTTCCTAATATTCTTTGTTTTCTAGTCATCATTCTTGTACTATATTTCAAGCCCCCTCCTTACTCCGAGGTCATGTTTATAACAAGCCAGTGCTATGTGATATGTTCATGTTCACCTTTCTCCTCCATTTGTACTATAGTATGCATTTTTCTTGTTTTCATGATCTTCAAACAAAAGACTAGAAATATTTGCTTAGGACTGCTATAATCCCATGAGATCATGCCTGAAACTCCAGAATCAACTCAGCATAGAGACTTCTGTAAAATCCTTTCCTTTAAAAATTAAGATTTATAATATATGGTTAAAATTTATTTTTCCAGAATACCAGAGAGCCACTAACTTGAAAGAAAGTCAAGAAAATGAAGACAAATATTTGAGACAAGTTTTATTCATCAATAACAAAACACTGATTAAGGACAGAAGTAAGACTTTAAGAAAAATAGGTGACTTGGCCACAGACCCAGTGCCCTCAAGAAAAAGAACTCATAAATGTGACTTATTTGGAGGAAGCTTAAAAAATGTTTCAGAATTAATTATTAGCAACAGAAACCATGTAAAGAAAATATCTGATGATTTCAATGGATATGAGTATCTTGACACTAAACATGAGGACACTAATCATACATGGAGTAAAGCACAAGAAAATGATCACAATAAGAAATCTCACCATCCCAATGAGGACTTTATTCAATATCAACAGAATTCATCTTTGGGACAACTTCAATATAGTAATTATGGGAAGGCTGTTCACAGAAAGACAGTCTTTGTTACATGTGAGAAAGCTTACACAAAAGAGATACCCCCTGAAAGCAATGAACATAGACAAGCCTTCATCAGAAAGCTAAAGCTTACTTCTTATCCAAGGACCCTTGAGGAAAGGAAGCCCCAGGAGTTCAGTAAAAGTGGGAAATCCTCATGTATGAAGTCACAGCAAGCTCATCAAGATATTCACATGGGGGAAAAACACTATGAAGATAACGCATTTGGGAAATCCTTGAGCAAAAAATTAAACCTTACCCAATATCAGAGAATTTCCCCAGGAGAAAAACCTGGTAAAAATAACAAATCTTTATGGAAGTTGTACCACAGTGAAACTGAAACAACTCATGCAGGGGAGATGTATGGCCTTAAGAAATTGGGGAGATCCCTTCATGAAAAGTCATGCCTTACTCAACATCAGAGAACACTCCCAACAGAAGAACTAAGTAAGGATGATGATAGGAAAGAGGCATTAAAGAATAAATCATATCTCATTGTAAGTCAGAGAATTAACAGAAGAGAGAACATCTTTAAGGGTAATAAAAGTGAGAAATCCTTTCACAAGAAGTCAAAACATACTCAGCAAGAGAGTACAAGCTCAGGGAAAAATCATGATGAGGGTGAAGAAAGTGGCAAAGCCTTAAGTAAGAAGTCACACTTCTGTGAAAACCAGAGCACCCACAAAGGAGAGAAAGCCTTTGACTGCAGTAAATGTGGAGAACGCTTCTGTAAGAAAACGGATCTTAGCCAGCATCAGAGCACACACACAGGGAAGAAGCGCTATGAGTGTAATGAATGTGAGAAATCCTTCTTTGTGAAGTCCAACCTCACAGAACATCAGAGAACTCACACAGGTGAAAAGCCATATGAATGTAATGAATGTGGGAAGTCCTTCTGCCAGAAATCAGCCCTCACAGTACATCAGAGAACTCACACTGGAGAGAAACCATATAAATGTAATGAATGTGGGAAAACCTTCTGTGTGAAATCAAACCTTACTCAACATCAAAGGACCCACACAGGAGAGAAACCCTATAAATGTAGTGAATGCTGGAGATCTTTCTGTGTGAAATCCAACCTTGTGGTGCATCAGAGGACTCATACAGGAGAAAAGCCCTACAAATGTCCTGAGTGTGGGAAAACCTTCTATGAAAAGTCAGCCCTCACCAAACATCAGCGAATTCACACAGGGGAAAAACCCTACGAATGTAATGAATGTAGGAAAACATTCAGCCAGAGGTCAGCCCTTACCAAACATCAACGAAAAACACACAAGAAGAAAACTCCCATCAATGCTACGCACATACAGAATCCTGTATTATCAAACCAAACTCAATGAACACCAGCAATCAGAGGGCAGAAACTTAACATGTCAACACAATTAGCAAAGTCTTCACTAAAGGTTTTAACTAATAGGAGCTAGAGAATTAATATGAGTGAAAATATAGAATACCTTAAAACATCTGAATTCTTTCAACAAATGTTTGAAGTTGTTGAGGGAAATATATAATTTTTAGAAATATGAATAAAAATGTTCTCACAGAAAAATTGTTTAACTAGAAGTCATTTCAGATGTGGTACAAAAAATTACAGAAACAATAGCTAAAACTTTCTTCATACAAAATATGGACATTTTATAAAAGCTTGGCTCATTTAAGTCATTGATACAGCATCAGTTAACAGTCATTTTGGCCTACCCTTATTCCTTGTCTTGATTGTATATTTTTCTAGTAAAAATTCTCCTATATTTTTAAAAATAATAAAATGAACACTGGGCTGGGGAGATAGCTCAGTAGTCTAAGCGCCTGACTGGCAAGCGCAAGGACCTGGGTTCCATCCCTGGTATTGCATGCCATGCAGGCCCCATTACCCCAGATGTGCCTGGCTGGCCACGGAAATCAGGCATGGTGGTGCACACCTGTAGTCTAGTGCTGGGGAAGCTGACACAAGAGGATCAATATAGGGCTAGGGAAATAGTTCAGTGTTTAAGCACCTGCCTGGCAAGCTCAAGGTCCCGAGTTTGATCCCCAGAACCACATGTCATGCTGACCCTGAACCCTGCATGCACTGTGCTGGCCCCAACACCAGGCATGGTGGCATGCACCTATAATCCTAGCATGGGGGAGGCTAAGACAGGAGGATCACTGCCCTACACTGAACTGTGTAGGGAGAGCCTGATTTAAATAAATAAATAAATGAATAAATAAATAAATAAATTTTTAAAAAAGAGGATCACTATGAGTCTAAGCTGTGTAGTAAGACCCTGTACCATATAAATCAATAAAAGATTAAAATGAATATTGACTAATGTATAAACATGGGAAATGTAGAAAAGAAACAAATGGAAAGGTACAGTCACCTAAATAAGTAAAAATGGAATGAAGCTGATAGTAAAAATAATATACAAATACTTTATGAGTAATATATAAAATATAAATATATTATTGTATTATATAATGAATATATTAATAATGTAATATATAATGCATATTATGTAATATATAATATATAAAACATATAAAAATAATAAATACATTACAAATAATATAAACAAATTGAATTCCCACATCAAAAGCAGAGGTAGTTCAATAGTGAACTGAGTCAGAAAAAAACTAAATGTGGTTGCAAGACAACATATATCTAAGATCAGTTGACAAAGGCTTTGAAATTTAAGAAAAGACAAAAATACATCTTTTTAGAAATATACCAATCTATTAAAGTATGACTACATTGGAAGTTGTTAAGGGATTTTGACTATATTGTGATTTGAACTTAAATAGAGTTAACATTTAGGGAGAAGATGGATGTTAAAAATTCTGTGTATTCAGAACATGCTAACTATGGCAAAGTGTATTAATTGCCTTCCAGTGAGCACAGTCCTCTTCATTTAGTAGTAGAACTCCCTGCTCAATGTTTGATGCATAGCCATTCAATTAAATTTTGTATTTCTTATCTGACTTTGCCACTAGATTGTCCCTACCTGTTCACTGTAACTCACATAGATTATTGGAAGAATGTGCACATTTATTTCCAATAGATTTACTGAGAATGTACCCTCTTTTGGCTAACTTACACACACAAAATCTTTAAGGGCACCAAGTGTGTAGTGACAAAGGATTGGCTAAGTATGGCACATCCAAGGGAGAGAATGCTTTGCTATCTATTAATAATAGATAATTCTGCTAGAGTTTAACTCTATGGCAGGCACTTTTCTAAGAAATTCATACATGTTAAACTTTCATTTAATCCTCATAGTTGCCTATGGAGTAGGTGCTGTTATCTACACATTACAGATGGGGTAACCACAACACAGAGATTAATTTGCCCAAATCCTACAACAGGTAAAATAGCAATTTGAGTCTAGGCAGTCTGGTTCCAGAGCTTGAGTTCTTAACCATTAGCTTTTCAACTTCTCGTAAAAAGTGATCCTGCAGGGAATTATCCAGTGGTTCACATGTGCGCATTCATGTTACCCTGTCTTTTTGTCTTCAGCTGACATGTTTAACCTTTCATGGCTAGAAAATCCACAGAAAGTTCTATAAAGGGCAGGGCCAGAGCCATTAGATACATCTCTTTGATTAGTGGTCTTCTTTGGCTGTCATTACTAGTAAGAAATTGTGTAAGATGCTCTGTATGGGTTTTATTTAGAATGATGAACAGGGCACTGGGGAGTTGAGCAACTTGAATCCTCATCTTGACATGACTTCTAGCAATTGTATGACCTACTCTGGGCCCATGTATTCATCTTTAAAATGAGGAGGCAGAGTTCAACAATGCTTGTGATGCTTTTTCATTATTATTATTCTGAACTTTGATGCCAGTCTACTAGGCAATCAGTGCATCCACAAAAGCCAAAGATGATGAATGTAGTGTGGACATGGGGCCAGCACAGACCAGGAAAGAAAGAGTGGAAATAAAGAAAACCCATGTATTTGGAGATGGTTGACCCTGAGTTCCTTCAGCTGGGCCTGATGAGCTCTTTCCATCTCGGTGTGCCAGCATCCAATGCAATAGACATTTTCTTGTGGAAGCTGTCAGTCCCCTCAGCTCAGGTCACTGCTCTGAAAGTTGCCACCAACTTTTAATTGTTACACAGTCCTGAAACTCTCTGCATACAGTCACACAAGGAAATTTTGCACACTCTGAATAGGAAGATAAAGGATTACTCTGAACCAGGCATAACAGTGTACACTTGCAATCCTACCTTCTTGGGAGACTAAGACAGGAGGATCACAAGTTCAAGGCTAGTCTGGGCTACATAGTGAGGTCCTATCTCAAAAGTAAAAAAGAGGGGCCAGGGAGATGGCTCAGTGGAAAAAGCACTTACCTGGCAAGCACAAGGGCCTGAGTTCAGTCCCTGGTTCCACAAAAAAAAAAAAGTAAAAAAGTTTCTTCTTGCTCCGCTCCCTGGCTGGGCTCTTCTGCCTCTGCCTTTGGCTCTGTCAATAGGTCTCACTTCCATGTGTCCAATCTGGTAGATTTCTGTTCCTAAAGTCTCTTCCTGACACTTAAGGCCCATCGCATTCTGGTGGTCATATCTTCTCCATCATATCTTCTTAGGTAAAATGTTGTGTATCTTGCCCACTTCATTGTAAGTATCTTTTCTATGGTTTGTGTGTATTTGCAACATGTCACCACTGGCAGATACTGGATAATGGTACACAGGAGGCCCCTGTGTCATTTCTTACAGCTACCAACTGTATGTGAATCTACAATTACCTAGAAATGAAAGTTTAATTTTAAAAGTGAGCATAGGAACAATCAACACAATGTGGGGCAGCAGCTCTTCCTGGGATGGGGAAGGGAGGAGGAGAATAGATGCATCGTCCGTAGTGCTGGAGCATCTGCCTTACATTTGTAGAGAGTATATGGGCTTTCAAAATCATGTGTGTACTCTCAAATGACTTTCATCTTCCAGAAAAACTTAATTTCTGATGCTGAGTTCCTATCCTGCTTGACAAAGTTCTAATCTAATCCCATTTGAATGAATGAAGTCAAAGCTTATGATTTCTCAGCTGCTTCATATTGAGAACTCAGTCCTATTCTGGATTATTTTCTCCTTGTCCTCCTCCACATTAAAGCTAGACTTGGTAGGGGAAGGATACATAGATGCACTGCTGAGGCAGCAGTGGGGAGAAGGTGGTGTTTTCCCCTCCACTCTTGATTTACCTCTGTCTCTACCTAGCCTCCTACCCTCTGGGTCAGAGATGCACAGTTCTCCTTGGTCCCAGGCACAGGTATTGTATGGAGTGTTTGTGAACTACCATAACAGAATACCTGAGACTAAATAGTTTATAATGAGAAGAAACTTACTTCTCATGGTTCTGTTGGCTGAGAAACCTAACCTAGAGGGCTGGACTCTGGTGAGAATCTTCTTGCTTTGCAATCCCATAGCAGAAAGCAGGAGGAGGAAGGAGAGAGTAACAAGACAGAGAGACAGAGAGAGTCAAACTTGCAACCTCATGCCCTTTTGTAATTCACTTTAATTCATTCTTAGGGGTAGAGCCCTCATGGCCTAAGTGCCTCCCACTAGGCCCCACCTCTGGACACTGTTACATTGGAGAGTAAATTTCCAGGGGGAGGAGGGTGTGCACATTCAAATCATAGCAGTCCTCCAGGCTGATGATCCATGACATAGCATAGCATTAGATACACATGAGACTGTGTGTGGGGCCAGGGTGGAAGGTCAACTTGACTGGCTTTGGTAAACACCTGGGGGACTGTTGGAGCACATTTCTGGTGTGTCTGCATGGGTGATGGAGGTGGCCTTGGGGCCTGTATGTGCCCCCTCTCCCCTTCCTCTCTGGGGTTGCTCCCCTGTTCTGCTTCTCAGCTGCCATGAAGTGAGCAGACTTGCTTTGCCTCATCCCTTCGCCATGATGTTTCTGCCCTGGAGCCAGCTGGTCATGGACTGAACCCTCCAAGGCCATGAGCCAAATTAACTCTCTGCTTAAGTTGCGAGTCTAGATATTGAGTCTCAACAACAGAAAATCTGACAAGAACACCCTACTATACCCTGATCATACATGACTGCAGAACAAAGCTTTACTTTTATCTTTCACTATTCCTCTAAACCTGTACTGCGGAGCTGGTTCTTCTGCCACTGGGTAAAACCTCAGGCAGTCCTAACTTCTGTGGCTGCTCCTAGGTAATAAATAGCTAGTAGCTGGCCCTGCAGGCAGCTGTACAAGAAAGACACCTCTGAGACTGCTGTGTACCTGCTTGCCAGGGGAAAGGGCAATGGGCTTATTTACTACATGCTCAAATGTTTGCTGCTTGTTCAAAATATGATGAATCCTTTTCCTTGAGTTCCTTAGCTTCTAGGAGGCCCAGAGGGTA